GGCCACCGCAGCCTTGACCTGCTGGGCTCCGGCGATCCTTCCTCCTCAGCCTTCCGAGTAGCTGGAATTACAGGCATGCACTACCATGCCCGGCTGATTTTGATTTATTGTAGAGATGAGGTCTGGCTGCCCAGGCAGGTCTCGAACCCGCGGGCTCAGGCAATCCACTCACCTCAGCCTCCCAAAGGCACAGGATTACAGGCTGAGCCACCGAGCCCGGCTACCCTTTAATTTTTTTAAGACTGATGTTCTGCCTGACAGGTGTAGCTTCCTAAAGTATTCTAGAAGCCAAATCATTGCAGCTTATAAATTGGAAACTGAGATTCTAGATAACAAAGCCATTTATCTCTCTTCCAAAAGGAGATCAATAACCCTTATCTTCTGATTATGTATGTAATTTTCTTGATGATACACAAAAAATTAGAGGAAACTATTAGAGTGTATAATGAGACTTGGGATGACACAGAAACAAAGGAGAGATAGAGAATATCGCTAAACATTTGAAGAGTTGAAAAAATGGCTATGAACTTGTGACCAAATACTGAGGTAAAATAATTAGGAACAGATCCTGAAGTTAAAAGGGGATACTTAATACAAAGGAATAATAATTATTTAATAAAGTAGGGAGTAACTTGCAGAACTAAGAAACCAGAACAAAACATGTTGGCTAAAATATAATCAAATAAGTTTTTAAATATTTAGATAAACTCAATAGTTATGAGATTTATTATGCAAAGTTATGGATTTTTAGAATTTATCCTATTTTAAATAAAATTGATGTCATGCTTAACAGCTACAGCTTCCTGGAAAACATCCCTAATAATGGCACTATCAGAAAATTGCAATGGACAAATCCTGAATCTAAGCCAGTGTGGAAGTCATTTACAGTTTGTATAAACGTCACTATTCCTGCAAAAAATTGAAGCTCATTTTCAACAATACTTCTCTAGAAAATGGTAGCTTTGAAAATCTCTCTGACCACACTTACCTTCCTGTTTGCCTAAAAAACTGTTCTTCAAATTCTCTTAAGGCTTTCCGCAGTCTCTTCTTGTCAGCCCTAGTTTCTCGGAGATGGTCAAGAAGTACAGGCCTATTTAAAGTGAAATACATATTTGCCATTACTGAGCACTGGCTTAATTGGAATATCATCATGAGGTTTATCTCTTCAGCAAAAAAAGCATATTGTTGATCAAAAAGTGTTCTGATCATAAAAGAATATCTTTTAAGTATGGCACACATAGAGTCTGACATAGGGGAGCACATAGCAGGGAAAATTACCTGATAGAAACAATATCACAGGAAAGGAAGGAGGGCAGATAGGAGGCAAGCAAGCAGATTGAGTTTATTTTAGGAAGCACTAAGGGAGTGGCAGTATGAATCAATGAGGGGGAATGGACATTTTGAAGGAATACTCATCAGTGTTTGGTGATAGACTGAACATAAGAGACACAGAGGAAGAGATGAGACACAGACCAAGAGATTTTAAAGAAAATTCTAGCCTTAATCTTTAGTATGAGGAAAATGGGAACCTTGGGAACAAAAATAAGACCCAGAAGAAAACTATAGTTACACTGCAAATTCTACATATTTCATTCTACCAAAATGAAAGAAAAATCATGTACTTTAGAACAGAAATTTGATATATGCAAACATGCCAAACTTGTGTATGGTTTTAGAGACTATGTGAATACTTTGAAATTATAATGAGCATTTTCTAAAGAAAGATTCCATTGATTTACAAAAAGTCCAACTCCTCCAGAAAAGTAAGGAATAACTGCTTTAGAAAAATCACACACACACACATACACACACAAAGGAATTGTCTGTTTCCAAACATGTCACACTTCTGACAGTTTAAATTAAGGTATCAACTGATTCTGTAAAAATTTTAAAATCTCAATTTATAACTTAGTCCTGTTCTCACCTCATTTCTGTTTTGGGACATAAACTCACCATACTATATAATACGTGTTAAAAAAAATCTCAATCTGGGATGTCATACACACAACAAAAGGCCAAATGATCATGAGGAATGCCAGCTACAGCTCCTAATGGCCCTTTAGTTAGGAACCATTTGGGTTTTCATTAATATTGTCATATTATTATCATTATGATAAGAATAATATGACAATATTAATGAAAACCCAAATGGCTCCTGACTAAAGGGCCATTAGGAGACAAAGGGCAACTCATTTACTTAAGGCCAAGGAGATTTCTAGTCTGGAGAAACTATCTCATGTAAATGGAAGAGACTGGGATAAAGGCCCTGAGAATGGCTGACCCACACAGTCCTAGCAGCATTTTTAAAGGCCAGCTCTGCTTTACACACTGCCAAGATTTAGACTGGTGCCAGAACCATGCAGAAAAGAGATGTGATTATAGCAAATTGAACATTAACATTTATGGCACCTTTAAGCTCCTCATGGCTTTGTCTTCTAGATTCTCCAGTGAAGAGGACAATCAGATTGTGCTTTTAGGGCCTGCTCTTTGATAGACAGCACTTTTTAGAGAGTCTTATAGCTCTTGTGAACTTTGTATATACATACGAGAGGGACCCAAAAAAGAGAATTCTTTTTTGGAGGGCAAGTACTTTGTAGTACAGGCTTCCCCTGCTAGGCAAGTGTTCTAGGAACCATTGGCATCAGAATACCAGCTAGTGGTGTGAGAGGCTGCGTTTGATTTTTTTTTGGAGATTCTTTCAACATGTTTGCCTATTTCATAATGGGCGATTTACAAGCAGACCTGACCATACCACACTGAGCATTCACAGCAGTTTTTGACCAAAAATGTCATGACTCCTGTGCCCCACCCTCCCTGTTCACTCAATCTCATCCCAAGCAACTTTTTATTTCCCTGGATGAAAAAAGTCCTCAAAGGGACACATTTTACTATGTGGAAGAGATGAAACAAAAAAATGGCAGAAGCATTAAAAGGTATCAAAATTGATGAGTTCAAAAAGTTCTAAATAGTGAAATAAAGCATCTTGGTAGATGTATTGCATCAAATGAAGAATACTTTGAAGGCAAGTGAAGTTTAAACATGTAAGAATAAATACACGATTTTAAAATAAATTCCACTTTTGAGGGGTCTCCCCTCGCATAAAGTGCCTTAGACCAGAAGTAGTTAAAAGGAGAGTCTGCACTTAGGATTCATACTTACATGGTGGCCTCATGTAAGTTGGACATGGAGAGAGCTGGTTGTTTTATTTCTTTCTTTTCATCTGGTAGCAGGGTCCTAATAGGCTCAGTCTCATTCGAGTAGGTAAGGTGGTCACCAACAGGAAGGAGACATGTTGGATCTGGCAAAGAAGGTTGTAGGCTCCTCTGTGGGCAGTCTTCATCAGAGTCCTCTTCCTCCTGCTTATCACAGACAGAGTTAAATGAAGAAAGTTACAAAATGTTAAGTGTCTGTTGAGGAAGAAAAAATAGGAAGGGGAACCACAAATAGATACCAAGAAGCAACTAAGAGGAGATTTTCCTGAGTTGCATTTAAAAACCCGCAGAGTTAATGAGCAAAGAGGTAGTAGCCAAGCTGGGCTAAAATACTCACCAACAGATGAACACTGGTTCTTCTGTGCCTCTAGGCCAATGAAGGCACAGACATTTAGGACATGGTCCAGTCTGGACTACACTACCAAGCAGTTTCTCCTTTTCACCAAGACCACCTGGGCCCCAGCTTCATACTTACATGATGTGAGTTAGGATGAGATGAATTAGAGACACTTTTTGTCATCCAGAAATACCCTAACTCAGGTCCCTGTGTGGACCACATTCAGATACAGAGGATACTAAAAACATTGATTCAGGGAAGAGCTCTTTGAAGGTCAAAACAAAAGGTTACTCTTAACATGTTCTGATCATTCTTGTGACAACCAAAAGATTCTCTTGCAAGGAAATCTAAGAATTACAATCTCATTTTAAGTAATGCTTCCATAATAGGAAAATTGCAAAGGCTATGAATCATTCTCTTAAAGTCTTTAAAAATATGAAAATATAAATGTACTCAAATATACTTAAATTTATATTTGTTAATATTTATTTTTATATTGATATCTTGAGCAAGTGACTGTTTTGATATTGATGGAATAGGATTTGTGATGCTTTCTGAGTTCTGTATAAAGAATGTAATCATTCTTTATTAAAAGTAGTCTAATTCAATTACAGTACTCATATCTTCTATTGAAATAAATCCTCATATCTTACAGTACAGACAAATAGTATCAAAAACAAATGTTGCATTATATCATGGAATATATTGTCAGTTTTCTTATTAAAGGAGAAAAATTAACCAACATGCACATACTAGAAAGGCTCTGTTTTGTTTAGCTGTGTTAAAAGTAGGTTATGCCAAAATGAAATCCATCATTACTTCTCCTTACCCAAGGCAATGTAAACAGATAATAAAACTGGCTCCCAGCATACAAGTGCTATATATTCTTATTTTACAACAGTTCTAATTATCAGCCACTGTGAAGTATAGTACAGGGGTTAGGGAAGACCAAATTTTCACTCTGAATTAATAAACAGCCTTGTTAGCAGTATATACTGCTGTGAAGACTCCTTTATAACTCTTAGTGCTATGACACGTCATGCTAACTTAACATCAATACAAAGCACCACTACGGTTTCTAGTTAATACAAGCATTCTGACTTACAATTGTTGGAATGAGAGAAGGTGTTGACAAGATTTGCTTGATAATTCTGTATCGGTCATAAAGAGGCTTTATGAGGTTCTTGTCTTGCTTAGTTACCTGAAAAAATATGAAATTATTATTCCATTCTCAGACAAGAATGAAAATGCGATGTTTTTAGCAGACAAAAAAGTCTTGGTGCCTCAAAATGATGGGTTACACAATAACAATGCAACAGTATTTAGAAAAATGGAAGCCATTTATATATACAGCACATGTCAATTTTTTTCTAGGAAAAGTTTCTTAAAGAATAGGTCCAAGTCCAGAAAGATAATTTCTGGAGGAGTCTGCAATGAGTAGATTGTAAGGAGCCTCCTTCCTTAATTACATCTTTATTCTTAAAAAAACTGATGAGTGATCAAAACCTATTAATTTTTCTTCTGAAACATCTTTTTCTCAGAACTTTCATGAATACATATGTATTCACAAATACCTATCTTGTACAGGTCGTCATCACTACACGCTTTGATTATACACTAGCTTACTGACTAGCTCTGATAATAAACTAAGTTATCTTAGACAAAAGATTTAACTTCTCTGAATCCTCAATTTCCAACCCATACAAGGAGGAGATTGAAGTTACCAACCAACAACTCACTAAACAATTATTAAACTTTTATCTGTGTTTTAAAATAAAATGAATTACTATGCTTTTTTAAAAATCTGCTTCCCTCCTCAAAGATACTACATTGAGGAGGGGCCAGAAAAAGTAACTGCCATTAGTCATCCCCTTGGTAATTTGTGCTGTGTACCTGACCCCATCTGTAGTTTTCAGGAAGGGAAATATGGTTATATGTGCCAGCACCAATTCAGAATTTTCAAAAGATAAAGACATAAAGGATATAAACAGGCACAATAGTCAGACGCCAGGGATGAGTCATTAATTTCCAGTACACAGCAATGCCCTGTGACCCAGAAGTGATTATCTCCAAAACTCATCCATAGATTTAAAGAAAGGAAGAAAATTACTCATTGGCAGAATCTAAACCAACAAGGTAATGCTGTAGGATTTATCAGCTTTAATATGGGCTCTCACTAAATACTAGACACAGAAATTTCAGAAAGAGTCATAATAAAAATTTCTCAGAAAAGAAATCATTCATCTTGGAAGTTTTTATATTTCATGCATTTTCGGTAGTAAGGCAAGGACCCCAGACGAAAGTCATCTGTCAATTTGAGTTTAAAGAAACAAGACCTAATGAGATGATCTGAAATGCTACTGAGCTCATTGAGGAGGCAGGAATACTACTAGCTGCTTTGGAAATCTACAATCTGGACTTACCCTTAGGACCCACCTTATGACTGACTAGCCATTGCATGGTTTATTATGTTCAGGGCTCCCAGGACCAGTCCTGCAATTTTATATATTGAAGCTTACATGATCTATTACAGTTGCTCCCTGTTTAAGGGGCCTAACTTTAGCCTGCTACAGAGCTAAATACTAGGTTTATTTCAAGGGGCTTCTGACACATATTAAACAATTCAACAGAGACTTCATTTAAAATTATAGAAATATTGCCATTAAACAGGATGACTTCTAAAGCACTCAGATTTTTCTCTCATCTTGAGACTCATATTCTTGTGCCTATTTGACTTAGATACTTTGGGAGGATAATCTACCTTCCCAGTCTGCCCAGAATTGAAGCATTTACCAGGTATCTTCAATGTTCAAATCAGGGCAGTCTTGGGCAAACTGGGATGGTTGGTCACCCTATTACTCAAAGATCTTAAATATAATATATCTTTAACCAGCCTTTGAAGTTTTCATCTCCACACTCCAAACCTGCTTCTCTAGTTTTTTCTTGTGTCAGTAAATGGACCCATAACCATCCTGGATTCTTCCTTTCCTTCACTTCCTCCCATCTACTGCATGTCCGTTTGATTATACTTTCAAATTATATACTTCAAATATTTTCACTTATTTCTATCTCCAAGGCCACCATGCTAATCCAAACTACCCATTTTATCTTTCTTCTTCCACTCTTCCCCCTATGCTTTATTTTCCACATAGCAATCTGAAAGATCTTTTAAATGTAAATCATGTCATGTCACTTTTCTACCTACAACCTATTTTTAAAACTGCTATCAGGTCCTGCATGATGGGTCTCAATCCGTCTTTCTAGCTTATGCCATCCTGTGCTCCAGCCCTCAGACCTAAGAACTCAAAGTGTACAACAAGTTCTTTCTTCCTTCAGGGCCTTCACACCTGCAATTCCATCTGTCTAGAATGCTCTTTGCTGCTTTCTTGGCCTGAAGATTTTTCTTAAAGTGTTACCTTCTTGGCCTCCCTAATCACCTTAAAGTAAAAACGATGCCCCTTATTTTCTATCATACCATCTGTTGGATTTCCTGCCTATGCTTATCAGAATCTTTAATGATTTTATTTAGTTGTTTATCTCTTATATCCCAACTCCCAGGAGAACATGAGCTCCATGAGGGCAGTGACCACTCCCTCACCCCCATGACTTCTTTATCTTGTTTATTTTTTTTATATCTAGCGTCTGTCCTACTTTATGGAACATAGCAAGAATTAAGATCTTTTTGCAAACGAATGATTGTCCACCAGGCATTTCCCTTATTGTCACATTATATAAGTAGGTGTTATCTGTATTTTCCAGATGAGGAAGTTGAATTTCAGAGATGCCTGATGGACACTTGCCAATGCCCATGGACAGAAAGTGGCTGGTTCAAGCCCTGCATTCTATTTTAAGACTAATATACCAGTCCCAACTCTCCCCTCACTATCATGGTTAGTTGAGTAGAAATAGAAATAGAATTTAGATATTGACCAGATACTTTTATAGATACAGCTACAGTAACTGTAAAATACTGGAAAGAGCCTCAGAAGCATTTAAGGATGGAAAACCACAGATGTGTCTGACAATGTGTATACACAAAGAAGTTATCCACTAGCTATCATAAAAGTCTAGCATCTTTAGCAGGGGCAGCAACATGTTGGGTAAAAACCTCCTATTTCACTCCTCAGAAACATATATGTGGCACATTCTGGAATTATGTGGCAAAACCCTTAAGTCATGGTTCATAATCCACCAGGAATTCATCCGAAATTATGGAGCCAGTCTCCTAAAGATGTTCATATAGTTGTCGAATGCTCTGATAGATTGGTCAAAACCATGATTTCACTGGCACTGTGTGAAGTGATGGGGCCCTCCACATCACAAGATACAGTGAGGTACCTTAGAATCCTCCTGGGCAGGGAGCTGCTCTTTCTTCTCCTTCAGGCATGTCACAGCAACATCTGGAGCCTCCTCTCCAGAGGAGCTTGGCTCAGGGCCTGCAGCTTCTGACTTCCCATTCTCTGTGGGAATCGTGGGTTGCTCACAGGACAGGTTTCTAGGTGGGCCTTTGGGAGCACTACCTTGTTCTTCAGACATTTTCAGTTTTAGCTCTGAAAGAAATGCCATGTGTTAATATGAGCAAAGAGGACCTGCTGGTCCTAATAAGAACAGAGAGCCTTTCAGGAATTTCTTCCCCTGATGCCAATTTGGTAGAAATGAATGGTATTAATGATAGCTTTCCACAGGGCAAGGGCAGCCTTAATAACCGGGGCCAATAGTATAAATTTCCAATCAAGTGTGAAAACAGAGCTCTAGAGGCTGAGATCACATGGAGGTAGAGGATATATGGGTAACTCAGTGATTTAGATTTCAGAAGAAAAGGAGTTTAGAAGAACAGTGGTATGTGGCACCAAAGTTTACACATGTTACCTGTTATAGCACCTGAAATTCTATACCCAAATACTCAATGACTTAGGTTTTGAAAGTTGTGTGATCATCAAGAGCCTCTGTGGAAATGCAAGCTTCTGGGGGACATCACACATGCAAACACCTAGGAAATATGGGGTGGGGGGGCGATGGGAAAGGGGAGATGGGAGTGCCAGCCCAACTTGACAGTTACAGTTTTATCTAATGCCAGCTTTTAAAACCCAGGAATCACCATTATTGCAATATGGCTTTATATAATCCTAGATCATTAAAAATAAAAAAAATTCACCTGGGACTTATCAGGGAATTGCATTTCAGAATATACAAGGGGAACTGTTCGTTTGAATGAGGTCATTTATATTGATTTATCAATTACATAGCTCATTTTCTTTGTTTGATGTTTGTTTTTTAGTTAGACTCAGCTCAGAGTTTAAACACTGCATATCTTATAAACCTGCTACATCATTACAATTTAATTCCACTGAATTAATATTCCCTTCTAGTTCTTTTTAATCACCATCCTTTCAGAAATTTGGAAAAATTCCTATGTCTCTAAGTATTGAAATTAGAATGTGGAGAAAGGAAGAGATAAATTTTATTGGTAAATAATAACAGTCCTTTTTAAATGGATTTTAGAGTTAATACTCACACTACCATCTCCAAAGAGAGACAGAAGGAAGAATACTAGTCCAGGAGGCAGGAGAACCATGTTTTACACCTCTAGTTTACCACCTCCGCCTATGTTACCTTTCCCATCTCTGAGTATAAATGTCCTTATCCGTGCAATGGGTTACATGGAATAAATTATTTTTCAGGTCTCTTCTCTTTCTAACATGCATTAATACAGTAACCCAGGGAGGTTAAACACCACATGTTGAAGTGTTCCTGGCATTGAAGTGAAGCATTCTACTTGGGAACCTTTTTAAGAAAAACTTAATCTCTTTTTAAGGAAGTTTATTAAATGGGGTCAAACAATGAAGGTGAATCAGGACCCTTTATTTCCCACAGGGCCTCCAATCTAAGCGGGAAAGGAGGTTCAAGAGGGCACAGGTGAAAACGAATAAGAAATGTTCTGGAGCACATTATCACTTCTTTAGCTGCTTCCTTTCTGAAAAAAGAGACCTTTGGCTGGTATTTACCTTTGAGCTGTTTACGACCTTTAGCCAAATCATTCATCCATTTCAGAACTTCAGGATTAGAAGTCTTGTCACCATGTGAAGGCTACCAAGGGAGGGAAAAATGGTGGTGGGGGGAGGGGAAGAAGGGAGGGAGGAAAAGAGAAAATGAAAAAACAATGTAAACAGCTGAGCCACACAAAGATCATTCAGGAACATATAAAACTGGGAGAGAAATTCAGGCTTAAAAATTCCAGCAGGTGGAGTTGCTTCTGGAAACAAACATTCTTAATCTCCTCTACTCTTTTATCCTTGCCACTATGGGTATCATTTCTAAACATGTCTGCTCACCCAGCATTTCACATAATCTTAATCATGCCTTATAGTCTAACCCTCAATCATCAACTTGTAGGAGAATACTGACAAACTGGAAGATTTTGTTCTTATCAGTAATATCCCTCCAAACTGAAGAAAAGAGACCCTGGAATTTCTGACAATAGTCCTGAGAAGTTAGTCTGTCAGGGGGATACCCATATTTCAAATACTTTCACTATATCTTACTGGGGCTAGCATTAAAGGGAAACTTAATCATATGTGTATGACCTTTGGCAAATTATTTAGCTTCTCTGTACCCCAGTCTTATTTATCCAATGGGGACTATAAAAGCATCTCACTCACAGGGTTTCTGTGAGGAATTAATTATATATATAAAGCAATAAAGACATTTCCAGACACATGCTACTATAGAAGTGTTAGCTAGAATGACAAATCTAATTATTATTGTTGTCATTAATACTAGCAGTAGTGATAGTAGTAGAACTTCAAAAGAATACTGACACATATACGTAGGGGTATGCATGCCCTGCAAATAGCTAATCACACCATAGATGTTTCAATAAGAATATATGTGTGTATGTGTGTGTGTGTATATTATATATATACACACAAACTTCTAGAAAGATACGACTCTGTCAATATAAAGCATTCACTTTGATTTCTAGATTTCTTCTCAGACACAAAAACATTTTCTACAGAAAAGAGAAATTCCAAAAGAAAAATAGTTAACCATACTGACCCTCCATCTTCACAGACCAGTAAAAAATGTTCTTAATCAAGGCTACCAAAGTAACTTAAATGCAGGCTCAAGAAGATTAATGATTACTTTGAATTAAGGATATACAAGGAACTATATAGTAATGCTCAAGATGGCAGGATCATAAACATAATAGCCTGAAACGGGTGCATTGTTAGTGACCAAATCTAGGGGTTATATCACGCTTCTTTAAGGATTCACTAAATTTATGTAATACCGGCAGGTTGTTTGAGAGGGAAGTGCAGGAAGATGGAAGACTTTTCAGGCTCAAAGGAAAAAACGTCTTGTATGACAGGATCGTCACATGTACATGGGATGAAACGTAAGGCATTGTTCTGTCAGTTCTAGAGCAATGTAAAAACAATACATTTTAAAATCAAGATAGAAAAGAAAGTTGAAGGAAAATGATTCTTTCCTAGGGGAGCTTGAATAGGAGCCTATAGTTTCCAGGAGAGAAATCCCCAATTTCAGAACCATGGACAGTAACAGAGGGGTTCCAATCCCCACCTCCATTACAGCTTATCCTGGTCTTACTATCACTGCTAGAAGGATGCACTGTACTATTTCCCTGATACGTAGTCCAGTACTTTGGATTTGGGTAACAGTCTGGTTTTATGGAGAGTCAATGCTTTACATTGGGTTTCTCAGAATCCTCAGAGTTCTCCACTTAAATCTGAGAACACATCTTGTTGAACAGTGCTTCATTGGATCTGCTCCACACAATCAATTCCATCTTTTGAAATATAGTATCACACACGCACACACACACACACTCCCAATCCAGCAGCCACAAAAGAAGTAAACTTTTACTACTGTATATATGATTGTGGTGAAATTTGAGGCTGAATTTTTCTGACAAAATAATTTAAAGCCCAAAATCAGTTTCTGAAATGAATCTTTCATTTCTCTACCCTTGGGAGAACTTTTTAAAAATAGCTTAAATGAATCCCACATGGATGGCAGTTCTGAAATCCCATGGAAGGTTATCATATACAAACTGTAGATTTTCAAGACTTCCAACTCCTTAGCTAAAACATTTTGGTTTAATGGACGCCAAAGATCGTAATCCAGAAGTTGCATTGAACAAAATCTAAACTACATTCACTGAAGGTACCACTGTACCAGATTTTTGATCTGCCAAGACGGCTCATAAGCACATTAGAGAGATTTCTGAATGGTCAAAAACAAAACCCAAAAAACTATTTCTTTTGGCTAGATCAGGATCAACTCTAATCTGTGTGATTCTGGGGAATTCAATTCCTTTCTCTGGGCCTCAGTTTCTTCAATAGATAAGAAAAAAGACTGGCCAATCCCTTCCAATTCAACATTCTCTGATTTCACTTAGGTAGACATCTGGCAGACACAGCCTTTTCTAAGCCTGTGAGTGCAGTAATCAAATGCAAAATCAGATGTAGAGATTTTGCAGAGTTTTGGATAGGGATATTAAAGGCTTACATTCAACAGAGATGGAAAGATGTATGCTAGAGACGAGTATCAGAATCACACAGAGGCCCAGCAGGCGCTAGGATTCAAAAATTAGCTATGGGTGCTATTAATTCCACAATCACATTGCCAGGAAGGGAAGTCTTACAGCAACCAATTAAAGCCCATTGACATGTCAAATTTCTAACCACAGCCTGGCACCCTGACAGAAAGGGCAAGGGAAAGCCCCATTTCCTGAGACATGTTAGAGTCTGATTACATCAAAGACTTTCATACACTGAAGCAGTGGTGACCATGAAGCCTCTGTCCCTTACTGCTCCCGAATCTGTCCTTCTGCATGTGTATTTAAATTGTGTGTGTGTGTGTGTGTGTGTGTGTGTGTGTGTGTGTGTGTGTGT